ATCTGTCCCTTGGTGAGAGTGGAGTGTTGAAGTCACCCACTATTAGGGTATTGTGATCAATGTGTGGTTTAAGCTTTAATAATGTTTCATTTATGAATGTAGGTGCTCTTGTATTTGGGGTATAGATGTTTAGGATTGTGATGTCTTCTTGGTGAATTTTTCTTTTGATGAGAATGTAGTGCCCCTCTATGTCTTTTTTGATTAGTTTTGGTTGAAAATCTATTTTATTAGATATTAGGATAGCCATTCCTGCTTTTTTTTTTTTTTTTGGTCCATTTGCTTGAAAAACTGTATTCCAGCCTTTTGCTCTGAGGTAACATTTATCTTTGTTGCATAGGTGTGTTTCTTGGATGCAGCAGAATGTTGGTTCCTGTTTCTGCACCCATTCTGTTAGTCTGTGTCTTTTTATTGGAGAGTTGAATCCATTGATGTTGATAGATAATAATGACCATTGAATGTCATTTCCTATTACTGTGGAGTTGGTGATGTTACTGTGAATCATTGCTTGTTTGCTTTTGATTTTTGTTGGGAATTATCTTTAATCTATGTTTTCTTGGGTGTATTTGTTTTCATTGGATTGGACTTTTCCTTCTAGTATCTTCTGTAGGGCTGGGTTGCTGTTCAAATATTGCTTAAATTTAGTTTTGTCATGGAATATTTTATTTTCTCCATCTATGTTGATTGAAAGCTTTGCTGGGTAAAGTAGTTTAGGTTGGCATCTGTGGTCCCTTAGGGCCTGCATGATATCTCCCCAGGCCCTTCTGGCTTTCATAGTTTCTGATGAGAAGTCCGGTGTGATTCTGATAGGTTTGCCTTTATATGTTACTTGGCCTTTTTCCCTTGCTGCTTTTAGTATCTTTTCTTTGTTCTGTAAATTAAGTGTTTTGACTATGATGTGGCATGAGGAGTTTCTTCTCTGGTCTAGTCTATTTGGTGTTCTGTAGGCCTCTTGTATGTTTGTGGACATCTCTTTCTTTAGATTGGGAAAATTTTCTTCTATGATTTTCTTGAAAATATTTTCTGGACCTTGTAGCCTGGACTCCTCTTCATCTTCAATTCCTATTATTTTTAGATTTTGCCTTTTCATGGCATCCTTGATTTCTTGGATGGTTTGTGTTTGGGATTTTTCTGATTTTGTTTTTGCTTTGAGAGAAGTATCAATTTCTGTGAGTGTATCTTCAGCACCCGAGATTCTCTCTTCCATCTCTTGTATTCTATTAGCAATGCTTACCTTTGTGATTCCTTCTCTTTTCTCTAAGTTCTTCAGTTCCAGGGTTTTCTCAGTTTGTGTTTTCTTTATTGATTCTAATTCTGTTTTCATGTCTTGCAAAATTTCCTTTATCTGTTTGAGTGTGGATTCCTCTGTCTCCATGATGGTCTCTATTTTTTTGTTTGTTTCCTCTCTTAGTGCCTCTGCTTCTGCCTCCAATTCTTTGGCTATATTTGCATGTGTTTCTTTAAGAGCTTCTTCGTTCACTTCGTTTTTCTTTGTTTCTATTTGGGAGGCCAAATCTTTAAGGGATTTTTTTGTATCCTCTTTAACTGTTTGAATCTCTATGACTATTTCTCTGAGAGATTTGTTGCTTTCCTCTTTATGTGCCTCAATTAACTGGATAATCATAGCTTTAAAATCATTTTCTTGTGTTTTTGCTGAGTTGGAGTGTCCAATAATTTTAGAGGTTGCCGGTGAAGCCATGATATCTTCATTTGTGTCGGCTGTGTTCTTTCGCCGACCTCTGGCCATTTGGTTATCCATAGTGTTCACTGTCTGTTCCTGGATTCTGCAGGTCAGACTGGTTTTTCTCTGGTATCTGGAGAATTCTTCAGGAAAATGGGTGAGGTCTAGTGGTTTCAGTGTGTGCGTTGGTTATTCAGCTATACCTGTAGAAGGAAAGTTCGCAGGTGCAGAAGGACAAATGCAGGGTAGCGTGTGTTTGAGCGTGTGCTTGTGGGTGTGTCCTAAGGGACAGGGTGTTGGTGAATGAAGAGGCCTTCAGTGTGTGAGAGGGGTGCCCTGCAGGTACTGAAGTTGTTGCAGGCGCTGAAGGATCGCAGGCGCTAAGGGATCGCAAGCGCTGTTGAAGAATGAGCGCGTGTATTGATTTTACAAGTCTGCTGGTCTTCGGTGTCTATTCAGCTGGTTTTCTGCCACTGAGGGGTTGGATGGCCCATACAATCACTGGCTGGGCAGCCTTGTGTATTCTGTGCTGCCACTTGCAGACTTGGGGCCTGGGAAGGGTTGTACTGTGGATCTGAGTCTCTGTGGCTAGCACTGTATTGGACGTACGCTCTGGCGAGGTGGAGTTTCGGTGGTGCGTGCACTCCTGCAGAGCCGGGTGGTGGTGGTAGTGGGGGGGGGGGGTGTTCCGTGGGTCAAGAGCTCGGCGAGAGGGCCCTAGGTGGCGTGTGTTCTCCTCTGAGTGGTGGCGTTCAGCAGGTCGTTACTACTCTCCGCTGCGGCTGAGGGGTCTGGAGCCCTGCCTCCCTGCCTCCAACTGTCTTGGGTCCCAGACACTGAGCTTTGCGGCTTTGGTATACCGGAAGAATTGTATTGTGGATCTGAGTCTCTGTGGTTAGCGCTCAGCGTTTGGAGCTCTGTGATTGTGCCTGCGCTCCTCCTGTGAGGAGGTTTCTGGGGTTATTGCGCTCTGGCAGCTTGGGACGTGAGCTCCACTGCACTTCCTGCTGCTGTCTAGCTTGGGATCGCGTCAGCAGGATGGGGGAGGGGACGCTCCACGGGTCTGGAGGGCCGTAAGTGTCCTCAGTGGGGCCGGGTGTGACGTGTGTCCAAGGAGGGGATGGGTGTTCAACGGGTGGTTACAGCAGACTGCAGCTGTAAGGGGCCCGGAGCACTATCTCTGCTGCCTTGATCTCCCAGATGTGAGCTTTGCGCTCAGCTGCCTGGTGCTGTGTGCGGGTTTCCCCGCGAGAGGCCCAGACAAGGGAAGTGCCCCATTTCCTTCCCGGAGAAGTCCACCCCAGATCTAAATCTACTAGTACTCCATGCTTCTGTGGTGGCCCCTCTCCTTTAGAAAGCCCAAAAGTCCAAATTCTACCTTCGATTGACTCTCCACTCACCAATTCCGGAGATTCATGTCTTCTGCCTCTCCAAAACAGTGAACTCTGCTCGCCACCATCGTGGAGTCCCTCCTTATTTATTTATTTATTTATTTATTTATTTATTTATTTATTTATTTATTTATTTATTTATATTAGTCACAGGTCATTCACTTTGTATCCCAGTTGTAGCCCCCTCTCTCTTTGCCTCCCAATCCCACCCTCCCTCCCTCATCTCCTCCCTGCTCCCATCCAAGTTGGTATTTTGATTGGGATTGAATTGAATCTATAGATTGCTTTTAGCAGAATGACCATTTTCACTAAGTTAATCCCACTGATCCATGAGCACAGGAGATCTTTCCATCTTCTGATATCTTCTTTAATTTCTTTCTTCAGAGACTTGAAGTTTTTTTCAAACAGATCTTTTGCTTGCTTGGTTACGGTCACACCAAGGGGATTTCTGTATATTAAATCAACCCTGCATGTCTGGGATAAAGCCTACTTGGTCATGGTGGATGACATCTTTTTTATGTTCTTGGATTAGGTTTGCAAGGATTTTATTGAGTGTTTTTGCATCAATGTTCATAAGAGATAGGTCTGAAGTTCTCTTTTTTGTTGGGTTTTTGTGTGGTTTAGGTATTAAGGTGACTGTAGCTTCATAGAAGTAGTCTGGGAAAGTTCCTTCTGTTTCTATTTTGTGGAATAATTTGAAGAAAATTGAAATTAGTGCTTCTTTGAAGGTCTGGTGGAATCCTCCGCTGAAACCATCTGGCCCAGAGCTTTTTTTTGGAAGGAAGACTGTTGATGACTGCTTCTATTTCCTTGGAGAATGTAGGGCTATTCAATCTGCCTGATCTTGACTTAATTTTGGTAGATGGAATATACCAAGAAAATTGTCCATTTCATTTAGATTTTCAAATTTTGTGGCATATAGGCTTTTGTAGCACGACCTGATGAATGTTTGGATTTCCTCAGTGTCTGTAGTTATGTCCCTCTTTTCATTTCTGATTTTGCTGATTTGGATAGTTTCTCTCTGCCTTTTAGTTAGTTTGGCTAAGGGTTTGTCTATCTTGTTGATTTTCTCAAAGAACCAGCTCTTGGTTTCATTGATTCTTTAAATAGTTTTATTTGATTCTAATTTATTGATTTCAGCTCTGAGTTTTATTATTTCCAGCCATCTACTCCCCTTGCGTGTATCTGCTTCTTTTTTTTTCCCCTTAGGGCTTTAAGTTTGGTCATTAAATTCCTTGTATGAGATGTTTCAAATTTCTTCTTGAAGGCCCTTTAGTGTTATGAATTTTCCTCTGAGCACTGCTTTCATTGTGTCCCATAAGTTTAAATATGTTGTGGCTTCATATTCATTGAATTTCAAGAATTTGTAATTTCTTTCTTTATTTCTTCCTTACTTAACCCAGCTTCACTGAGTAGTGAGTTGTTCAGTTTCCATGTTCCAGTTTCCATAGGCTTTTAGCTATTTCCATTGTTGTTGAGATCCAGCTTAAGTCCATGGTGCTCAGATAAAATACAGGGGATTAATTCAATCTTCTTGTATCTGTTGAGGCTTGCTTTGTGACCAAGTATTTGGTCTATTTTGGAGAAGGTTCCATGAGGTGCTGAAAAGAAGGGATATTCTTTTGAGTTTGGGTAAAAAGTTATGTAGGTCCATGTGATTTACGACCTCTGTTAAGTGCCTTTATTTCCCTATTTGGCTTCTGTCTAGATGATCTGCTGCTTGTTGAGAGTGGAGTGTTGATATCTCCCACTTTTAAAGTGTTGGGATTGATGGGTGATTTAAGCTTTAGTAATGTTTCATTTACAAATGTAGGCGGTCTTATATTTGGGGCATAGATGTTCAGAATTGTGATGTTCTAATCTTGGATTTTTTCTTTGATGAGAATGCAGTGCTCCTCTTCATCTTTTTTGATTAATTTTGGTTGAAATTAAAAAATATGGAATGCTTCACGAATTTGCATGTCATCCCTGCTCAGGGGCCAGGCTAATCTTCTCTTTTTAGTTCCATTTTAGTATATGTGCTGAGGAAGTGAGCACAAACATAAAGGATTAATCAGCTGTCTTTGCCTAAAGACAACCAAAGGGATGTTTGGGTGTTTTCTGACTGATGATTAGTTATAATAAAGTGCTGATGGCCAATATCTGAGGCAGGAAATATAGGTGTAGGACTTTTAGGAAGAGAGGGATGCAGGGAGAAGCAAGCAAAGTTGAGAGAATCAAAAGAGACATGAAATGAACAGATAAGACAGGAAAAGTCGCAGAAAGGTCAAGAGCTATGCACATTTTGGGACACAGTGCAGGAAAGTTGGGTTAAGTTAGAATCTAGCTGAGAGACGGTCCCTGAAAAAAGCCAAAAGCTTTAAGCAATATAGAAGTCTTACATGTTGTTATTATTTGAATCACTTGCAATATATTTGGATATTAACCAAGCTGCAATCCTTAGTCCTCCAACCGTAGTTACAGAGTAAGGGACTAGCGTTGCTAGATAGATTTCCCTGGGAAAGGGAAATAGAATAGTTATAGATGGTTTGGAGGTTTTGACAGGAAGATCAATTGGGGAGGGGAAGAAAAGAGGGGTATTAGGGAAAGAATACAGAGAATGACAGCTAAACCCAAGGGATAGTTGAGGAGATGTATGGCAACCTAATACAGCAGAAGTTTCCTAAACTGTATGCAAATATGAAGGCAATATAAATGACAAATAATGGGGGTGGGGGATAGAGCCCCAAGTGGGCATCTCTTTTATCAGGATTAGATTACATCTAATTGCGTTTTTGGTTGAGTCCCATGGGAACCCCTAAACAAACAACCCATGTTGTTCCCATGACTAAGATTTCTTTCCACACAAAGGCAAAAGGGTCCCATTGCTAACGGCAACACTTATACCAGTTAGAGCAATAAAACTGGTGCCTACATAAAGCCTTCACCCCTATATGCTAGTGTCTTTGGTATAAGTAAGTATGTTTACACTCTACAAGAAGAGAAATGAAGACCAAGCCAGGCAGAAACTCCAGATCAATGATGTTGTTTAGTCTATAAAATATGTTGGAGCAATGGTGGCAGAAAGCTTATGGGAATAATTCCAATATTTGATTTGACTTAAGGCCCTCTCCCATGAAATGGAACTGATCCCAGACACTACTTGGGTGACCAAGCCCTGGGAGTAGATATCCCAAAACCCTAGGGAAAAACCAAATGCTAAGGTAAAAAAAAAAAAATTATTAGTGATAAAGTGACTCCTAAGTTTATTCTTCTGTACTCATCGATCAATGCCTTGCTTAACCATCATTAGAGGAGTTTCTTTTTGCAGGAAATGGGAAAAAATATAAACACCCACAGTCAGACATTATGCAAACATTAAGAGACCTTGGAACACCATTCTTAAATGGGATAACTTCATCAAATCCTGGTTCTCAGGGGAAAAAGAAAAAAAAAAAAAAAAGAAAACAACCTTGAAGAGGACATGAAAAGAACCAGTGGGAATGGAGGATACCACAAAAACAATACCCTCTAAATCAACATGATCAGAGTTCATATGAATTCACAGAGACTACAGTGAGATGCACATAATCTGCACGGGTCTGCACCAGGTTGTCTTCACATATTTTATATTTTATTATCATTTATTATTCTGTATTATTCTTCCATATTCTTCTATATGTTATGGCTTCCAGTTTATTGGTTTTATGGGATTCCTGAGTGTGTGTATGAAAGTGGATCTATGATTCTTTTGCCTTCTGTAGGACACATTTTTTTTTCTTTTTGGTTGTTTTGTCCAAATCTAATGTGTTAGTTTTGTTATATTATATTATATTATATTATATTATATTATATTATATTATATTATATTATATTATATTATATTATATTATATTATATTATATTGTATTATATTATTACCTTTCAGAAGCCCTTTTGCTTTCTATTGAGAGACAGACATGGATAGATCTGGGTGGGAGAAGAAAATTAAAATTATAAAAAGAAAGGCTTGACCAAGAAAAATACTTTCCTTTCCTCAGAGTTGACCACTGCTGTAACTGATACATATCAGAGAAGCATGGAGGAAGCCAGAATCTCCTTCAAGAAAGAACTAAATTGTCATGTAGATTTGTGAGCCTATGTCCTTCTTGCTTTGCACTCACGTGGGCCACTCAGCAGTGCATGTGGACAACCCATTTTCAAGGAATTCCAAATAAAGAATCAGAAATTGGAGAATGAATAATTATACGGGGTCTTACAGTCTAAGCAGGAGATTGCTTGTCCTAATTAATTAAATGTTTTTACCCTGCTTACTTCATGAAGTTCTGTTTTAAGGTATATCACACAATGTTTTTCTTTTAATATTTAACGTGAGAGATTTCATCATTCTTGCTTCATTAGGAAACTGAAATTTTTTTCTGTATTATTCTTCATATATTTATATACTATTTTATGTGAATTTCCCTCTTCCTTGTAGTATGACAGAAAATGCACTAAAGACAGAGACTGTGTAATAGCATAGCTGACCCCAGAAGCCCCAGCAATAGTCCTGTTATATTTGGACATACATCATCAAGAATTTCAAAACTCAAAGCAGTATCCAGCTGCTTCTCTGATTAAATCTTTGTCTAGTGTAGCCAGAAGTACAACTCACCATGCAAGCAATTATATAAAGGCCTTAAAGAAGAACTTTGTGCTTCTTAGAATAAAATTTAGAGTCAGAGGTAAATTATGCCAAATAATTTTGAGATAAAACTGACTTAATGCATTATATTTACTTGAATGTTCATGATGAAGATCTAGGTCTATATAACAAATTAAATATTCAGGATACTGAGAATATAAATCACGTACACACACACACACACAGAGAGAAAGAGAGAGAGAAATTGCCATAAAATCTGTAAGAAAATTTCTTTAGTGTCCTTAGTGTTTCTCATCCATTCTGTTTCCAGCTTTTTATATATTAATTTATTTTTTATTTATTATAGTATTTTCCCTTTGTATCCCTGCTGTAGCCCCCTCTCTTATTCACTCCCAGTCCCACCTTCCCTCCTTCTCCTCCCATGCCCCTCTCCAAGTCTACTGATAGGGGAGGTCCATCTCCCCTTCCATCCAACCACAGTCTATCAGGCCTTATCAGGACTTGTTGCATTCCTCTGTGGCCTGGTAAGGCTGCCCACCCCACTTCAGGGGAAAGTGATCAAAGAGACAGCCGCTGAGTTCATGACAGAGGAAATCCCTGTTCTGATTACTAGGGAACCCACTTAGAGACTGAGTTGCCATGGGCTACATCTGTTGAGGGGTTTTAGGTTATCTCCTTGGTTGGATATCAACTTTTAAAAAACTACTATCACCTTTCTTAACCTCTGGGTGTTTCTTATAGTCTTTCTTTTATTTGAAAACTTAAAAACATTGGTAGACTACTATTTAGATAAACTGTAAATCTAGTTCCATATCTTTTCCCCATGACAAAACAGGAATTAGAGATTGCTAAACCAAAGATTGGAGGGCTAAAAGACTATTTCCTCTGTGCCATACCAAGGTATATCAAATCAATATGGCTCCAGCCTGTTGATGGTAGACTTGGTCACCATAGAAAGTGCTTGATTAAATTCTACTTAAATTTATTCTGTTTCTCCTTAAGAATACACAGCTTAGGGGCTTGGGAGATGGCTCAGAGGTTAAGAGCACTGGTTGTTCTACCAACGGTTCTGAGTTCAATTTCCAGCAACCATATGGTGTCTCATAATTCTCTATAATGAGATCTGTTGCCCTCTTCTGGCCTGCAAAAGAATATGCAGGCAGGGTACTGTATAAATAATAAATAAATCTTAAGAAAAAAAGAATACTCAGTTTTAAAAATTTACTATGCATTGTTCATGGTACACTATGTGAAGAAGAATAAATAGATAAATTATGTGACATTCTTCTATTTTGTGCTATGTCCCGTAAGGCTTACTGAGATGACTGATATATAAAAAGTGTATATATTTATGGGTACAATGGGACATTACATGCTCAAACACATGAATTAACAATACTATTACTTTCCATGTTGATCATTTTGTGTAAACATCATTTAAGAACAACTGTCTTAGCAACTTTGAAATATATAGCAATTTGTATGGTTGGAGAGTTGACTCAGCAGTTAGGAGAATTGGCTCGTCTTCCAGAGGACCTGGGTTCAATTCCCACCATCCACATAGCAGCTCATAACTGTCGGTAACTCCAAGATCTGACACACTCACACAGACATATATGGAGGCAAAACACTATGCATATAAAATAAAATTGAATGTAATTAAAATGATAATTTGTAGATATAAACATCATGCTACACATGGAATCTGACTACTCATAGTAGGTTTTCAATAGGCATTTAAAAGGCACTCATCAGGGGATCCAAGAAGGCCGTGACCAGCACGCACAGTTTCTGAGAGGCAGAGGAACTGAAGCGCTGTAATTGCTGAGTGGAGGGACAACTAAAGCCAGGGAAACAATGGTGAGGCTTTCTGAACAAGAGGGAACATCACACGAGTTGAGACCTTTAGTCTCAGGTCACCTGTGGACTTCTTTGGGGAAGGAAAGAAACGATCATGTGATCCCCTGCACTCTGCTCTTTCAGACCTCCCTCCTCCTCTGCACAACCAGCTCACAGAGATTCTCAGCACAGAACTCATTGCCTGGAGACTATGACAACAAAGGTGGGGCTCCTAGCTCCTCAGTGGTGGCAGCCAGCTGTACTCTCTTTCTGAAGCCCAGATCTGTGGTACAATCCTCCCTAGGTCCCTCATCTGCCAACAGCCATTCGGACTCCTAAGGGCCTCTCAGTCAGTGACTGTAAGGCCTGCCCAACCACTCAGTGCCAGATAATAGACTATACAGCCACCAAAGTCCAGCAGACCCACCAAACAAACTAGGCACACCAGGCACCGAGCCACCCGGGTCTTCTGACCACTGTTGTAGGCCTCCAGGACTTCCCAGAAGGCACCTGGATGGGCAAACCAATCTGTTTCTGCAGCTGGACTCCCTAATGTGGTGGCTATAGTGCCACT